TTTTCTGTTGTCTGCGGGCGACGTCCTCCTGGCGCTGGTCTTGATTTACAACTTCCTGGCTGTTGCGGCACCTTCAAGCCTGGGCCGAGCGCACATCCACGCATGCTCGCTGTCAGCCTCTGTCCATCAGGCTCCGGCCTGTCGCATCGCCCCACCCCTGTGTCTGTCGGCCCAGCCTCCTCTTGCTCGCCAGCCGCCACCATGCTTCGCCGCAGCAGCTCGTTGCTCGCTCACGCCACCGCCGCTACACCACAAGGGACGGTTGCCCCCCCGCTCTAAGAGCAGGTACCCAATTTGTCTATTTGCCCTTTAACAGGCTTTCGAGCTGCTGGGTAGGCGGGAGCTGGGACATAGGGCCGGGAGCTCACTCCGGCCGCGGTGGGGCTCGAACAGCCAAAGCTGCTCGGCCAGATGTAATGCAGGCTTCACTTATCACCTGCGCCACCACTCCCGGATGTAAAGCCCGCAGGGATTTGGGCAGGTCGAGTTCTACCGCAACCTTGTTTATCACCCTTAGAATTTTAAAGGGGCCCACATACTTCCAGCCCAGTTTTCGGCGCGGCTGCAGAACCTTAATGTTTTTGATGGACAGATAGACAGAATCACCAGAGGTCAAATCCCATCCAGGGGACCACTTTGTATCAGCATATTTCTTATAGTCAGATTTAGCCTTGTCCAATGTTTTTCTCAACACCTCCCAGTTCTTGGTAACATTATGCCACCACAGTTGCGCATCCCCCTCTATGGGTTGGGAGAGGTCTACCATCGGGAGAGGAACCCCCTCGTACTCGTACGCCGCCTTAAACGGGCTCATCCCCGTGGATGAGTGAACAAAGTTATTATATGCAAATTCAGCAAAATGTAAAAGTTGCACCCAGTCAGTCTGTTGATGGTTTATAGAAATCGCAAGATTTGCTCCAAAATTTGGTTTGTCCGTTCTGATTGTCCATCAGTTTCGGGGTGATGGCTGGACCCCACCCCCTTTTCTATGCCCAAGAGCTTCGTACGCTCCTTCCAGAACCTCGAAACAAATTGTGAGCCTCTGTCAGATATTAATTTGTGTGGGATCCCGTGCAATTTGACGACATGCTGCAAGAACATAGCGGCCAGTTGCTTGGCCGTGGGGATAGATTTGCGCAGCACAAAGTGGGGTTGCTTA